ATATATATATATATATATATATATATATATATATATATATATATATATATATATATATATATATATATATATATATATATATATATATATATATATATATATATATATATATATATATATATATATATATATATATATATATATATATATATATTATATAAATATATATTGGTTAAAAAGGACAGTGACAGACCCAAAGAAGGTGAGTTCAATTCCTGGTTAAGGCAGTGGAGAACTTTCAGAGGGAAAATTAGCAGGAGATAACTGATAACTGACATCCATCAAACATGGCACGTGGAATTAGAACAGTCTACCCCAGCGATCGAAATAAAGGGTTCAGTTCGAAATTCCAACCACCTGAAGAAGGCCGGAGCGTACAACGGCCGAAACGTTGTGACAAATATGGCGACAAAGATGAGGACAATAGTCCGACTAATGTAAATACTGTATATATATATATATATATATATATATATATATGGTATTGACCTCAGCTCAATATATATATATGTGTCATTCGCAGACAGTACTGTTTCTACTATATATATATATATATATATATGGTAGGGCAGATTTTTGTCATAAAGTTCTCAATATCAAAAGTTAGGATAGCACGTTAATAGAATTAATTTGGAAAAGTTTATCACTTAGCAGAGTGGTGTTGCTTCAGCTATGCCTACTACTTAATTTCCTGAGCACATCAAAATAACATTATTAAATTTTTTGAATCCTAGATTGTTGAATCATATCTAAATGAAAACCAGGTAAAAAATTATACACATACACAAACAGAAACACTTAAACACACAGACACACATATACATACACGCAAGGTTAAATCCCAAGCGGACATACACATCAACACAATAAAGTAGGTCAACCGAATATAGTAAATATAACCAATCCCACATAAAGGAAATAAGGAAAATACAGTGAAAAAGAGGTCACCACTATACAAAGCAAACAAACATCAAGAAACCCTATGCCACTTATGAAGTAACAACAACACCCGTTAAGGGAAAAGCCACACACCTATAAAAAGACATCATATTACACCTAACCACATATAAATACGGCAAAATTGAGAAATAGCAGCAGAGAAGACAACAAGCCCTGAAAAGTGAACATGTTATCTTGATGTGTTCACGAAACTACATAGTAGGCATGACTGAACCAACACCGTAGAGAACGTTAGTGTTACGACTATAAAGTCCGGGTTCGAATCTCACATACTCGATATATCAAGGAGGTGACCTTGTCATAATATCAAGTTGGGCATTCGTTCAGATGGTGAATCGCCGTGAAACTCATACCAATGACTGACAAATGACATGGGATTGGAATTGAGTAGACAAACCCCCAGGTGTCACTCACTGAAAGCCGTTTTGACCATTGATTCTAGAATGTTTTTGATTACGACTGACAGTTTTCATATTTCTTATCGGTTTGGCCGTCATGAATGACATCTATATCAATGTCTCGATCTGACGAGGCTATTTAAGAACATGACTTTCAAAGTTATATATTTATATTTGCCAATTCTTTCTATTGTGGGGTCAGCTCAACACAAGGTTGCAAAATGGACTGCTAAACTACTGCGAACCTTATTAGAACACTATAGTAAAAACCGCATAAAAGATTCATTCTCTTTTGCAAAACATATCCCAAAATCCAACTTTACCAATAAATTTATGTGTTCTTTTGACATTAGCAATATAGGATATTCATAAAAAATTTCCAGTATCCCTTGATAAGTTAAAAAATATTTCTGACATGAACGAACTTTCCTAGTATCAGACCAAGCAATGAATTCAATATAATCTTTCCACTTCATATCAGCAGAAACCCGAAAAGGTGCAATGAGTCACACTCGTGGAGGTTAGCATCAGCCATGCTGAGTGAAGGCAGAAAAGGATCATCTCAGATTTTTTGGCGGTGTTGAAATTAACAAGCCGTTCTTTATCCCAGTTAACAGCAGATTAGTGGTCAGTTTTTGAGGTTAGCTTACAATTTAACCATATCGAATTGATCAGACCCAGTATTACAGGAGTAAATAGTTGTCATCAGCATAGATACCGAGTTGGGAAGTGATGTCATGGGGAAAAGCATTGATGAAAATTAGAAACAACGTAGTTCCAAGGATAGAGCCCTGGTCGGGATGGGGCCCCACATGAACTAATATAACAATAGCTAGAAGAGTGGCCGTTCAGCATTTATTTTCATTTCGTGATTTGATAAGAAAGAAAAAATTATGTGAAGAAGACCAAACCCTGTTGAATGCCTTCGAGTGTCCAACGTAGCAACTCAAGTTGTTGAAACATCAGCAGTTGATCTAGAGAAGCGAAAGCCATATTGCTTATCTGAAAAAAGACCCTTAACCAGTTCAGGGTTGATTAGGGCCTCTTGTTATGAAATTCACTGAGCATATTTGTTCGCAAATTTCATAAAATTTTATTGATGTTGGCTGTTGGTTTTTGTTTTAGATTATGCTTTTGGTACAGGTTTTTTTGGTTCGAATTTATAGATATATTATTTACACTATTTACATTATTTTGACTGGTACCTTTGTTCTCATATTTATGTCGTTTTAGCCGTTGTACGTTCCACCGGGGTAAATTGCTTTAGTTCCACATGCCATGACACTTTAGGACGACTCAGTTAACTCCCTTTAACTCAACTCTCGAAGTTTCCGTTAACTACTGCAGTGGCCAGGTATTGAACTCACAAATCTTTGGGTCAAGTAACTGGATCCAACCAACGCTTTTATTCACTTGACCATCAATGTATGAATTTTTGAGACTTATATACTTAATGTCTCAATAACTTTTTTTCCAGATCTCATATTGCTATTTTTATTGTTATTAATGTTTTTTCTAGCACTCCGTATGACTGAATAATTATTAAAAATAGAAGCCGGAATATATATATATATATATATATATATATATATATATATATATATATATATATATATATATATATATATATATAGTTGGGCACATGAATGCCATCGTTCGCTTTGAAATGGATACTCTCACCCTACCTCGGCTTGACCTCTTTGTGGATAAAAAATAACTCTTAGGCCCCTTATCGAAATGGTCACCCCAGCCGTTTCCATAGTAATTAATTTTGCGAATGAACATGCTTATAAAGATGTGTAAATTTCAAGATTGGTTATTCCTAAATTTTCGCTTGGGGATGAAACAAGGCTTGATACTTTAACTCAATTTAATTTTAATAATTATTATATTGAGTCTTATGTATCGAAGGAATCATATTTTTTTAAAAAATAATTATATATATATATATATATATATATGTCTATATTTTGGAGATCAGGTAACTATTTACATCTTTTGCGCTGCTATACTCATCTTTATTGCAATATTCAAAACATTTCGGCCATTTTACGCACCGAACTTTTTCAGGTGATATACGTTAGAATTCTGTCCAATTGTTTTGGTCCCCAAAGGACACCTGGTCCAGTGTATAAAAGCGTTGACTGACTCAAAAAATGACTTGACTAAAGGAGATATGAGTTCAATACCTGGCCGCAGCAGAGGTAACAAAAATTTGGAAAGTTTAGTTACTAAATGGAATTAAATGATACTGAGATATCCAAATATTCATGGCACGTGGAATTAGAACAGTAGACTAAATAAAGGGTTCAGTTCTAAATTCCAACCTATATTACCTGAAGAAGGCCGGGGCATGTAACGGTCGAAAAGTCGTGAAATTGATAATAAAGATAAGGACAACAGTCCGAACAATGTAAATAGTGTAAATGAATATCTATCTTTTTTTTAAAAAATCGAATTTATCCGAAGCAAGGTAGTAAAGCCACTATGGCACAAGGAATTACTGTGTGTGAAAGAATATGAAAAAGGAGAAACATTATTAAGAAGCAAGAACAATAGAAGAGTAATGAGGAAAGACTGTAGATAACGATTGACGTTGCATTTAATTTTTTGAAGATGAAAGTTAGCTGGAAAGCATACCGGAAGAGAGTTCCACAAGCGAGAAATGCGAGAAAAGAAACTGTTAGTATAGAACTTACGGTTACATCTAGCTAGGGACCTCCACAAAAAAAATAAAAAAATAAAAAATAAAAAAACAAAAAAACAAAACGCGATACCTAAGGTTTAAAATGAAATTAATACAGAATTTTAAAAGATTTAAAACTTAATAATTTTTTCTAATTAAAATTTTAAAAAAATGAAAACAATTCTTGTAAAAATTCATTATTCATGGAAAAACTTTTTCTTTAAACAATAGTATTCTTAATCTATCTTATATATAAAAGCTTTTCTAATTAAATAATATAGTTTTATTGCATTATTTATTTTACGATTCAAAGCTACTTTTCGGTAAATGGTGTTTCTATTTGACAAAAACAGATTAACGATTTAAATCCTCCAAGGACTCCTGCTTTCAACTAATATAAATACGAAGATTCTAGAATTTTAATTTCTCGAAATTTCATAAAATGGGGGTAAAACAAATGTAAAAAAATATTTTACAAAAATATTTCAAAAATAATTTCATTCATTTGTGAATATGTCTTGAAAAGTTCATTAAAATCCGACAATTATTTGATTTTTAACCAAAATTTTGAACGTGTGAGAAAGGATTCAAAAATTTAATTAAAAATACTTTTGTCTTTCCTAAATAAATATTTCGAGGATAAAACTTTGTTTTTATCAAATTTGGAGCTTTTTCATCAAGATATGCACGTTTTTAGAAATTGTTTTGGACTTCCTACATCAAACCAATTCAACTATAAATTCATGAGACCTTGTTGCCAATCTAGTACTGTGCTTAAATTCATAAAGTCTAGATACCATAGCGAAGAGCTGGATATGAAAAAAAAAAAAAAAAATCCCCAATGCTCTTTAAAGGGCCGCCTTTGGAAGCAAAGCTCTGGTATAAGAATATTCTGTTGATAGAAGAAAAGAAGAATAGAAACAGCCTGTCTTAACCTTGCCCGTCTTATTCGTAAGATGCATAAAAAAAGGTTTCAGTCTCAACTGTATTTATTCACGTGTCCATTCGATGATTTTTTGGTAAGCAGTCCCGGGGAGAAGGCGACGAAGAAAGAACGCAGGGGCGCTTGGGTAAGAGCAAAGGAGGAGGGTAAGAATAGCAAAGAATCGGCTGGGGGCGGCCATTAGAAGGGAGTAGGAAGGAATCGGTAAGTGCTATCTATCTATCTATCTATCTATCTATCTATCTATCTATCTATCTATCTATCTAGCCCAGTCAGTTTTTCTCCCCATAAAAAAATAAAGGCTCAATATACTGAACACATTATCTCAGTTCTTCTGACCCAAATGTTTTTATTTACCTATCATTCTTTCTATTTATCTATTTCAGGCCATTTCTATGTATGTATGTATGTATGTATGCCAGACTATTAATTTTCTTTCTTTCTTTCTTTCTTTCTTTCTTTCTTTCTTTCTTTCTTTCTTTCTTTCTTTCTTATTTCAGTTTGCTTCTATCTATCTATCTATCTATCTATCTATCTATCTATCTATCTATCTATCTGTCTGTTCCTATAGTGCATATTTTATTTTCTTATCGGTATAACTGGATTTTATTTAAAAATTGTACTTTTTGTAAATGTCTGTTCTCTGTTCTATACATTTTTCTTTCTTTTTATAAAACTTAATTTTCTCTTTTTGTAGATTTCTCGATCTGTCAACGGAAATTTTTTCGTTTGTCTTCTCTGCGTCCATACCGGAAACCGTCAAAGTCATTACGCAGAAATCTGTCCTTATTCGGAAGAGAAAAAAAATCAAAATAGAAGAGGCTGCCTCAAAGCAAGAAAGACAAACGACTGAGATATTAGATCTAAACGACCGTAATTAATTTATAAATAAAATAAATTCATGCAGTAAATTCGCTCAGCGGGGTGTCAAAATGTAAACCTGATTGGGCAGGAACAGTAATACACTGGGAACTGGGATTTGACAATCGAAATCGATGATACTAACTAGAAACCTATCTCAGAAATAGAAGCGATAAAAATTGTCGAATATGAAATCGAATGATCTTTTTTAAACACATTAAGGACCACCGTAAAATTCAGTTTTTTTTTGTTTTTTTTTTTAAGCATTTCACCCCAAGCAAGGCGGGAAGCCACTAGTACGCAAGAGGTTACAGAGGATTTGGAGCGAGAACAGATAAGAGTGCTGATAGAAGAAAGGATGGGGAGAAGGATAGTGAATAGATCAAGGCAACTGGAGATGTCGATTGAGTATCTATATAATATTAAAACTCAAATGCAGAGCGAAATTTCATTAAAATTAGACAAGGATTTCCTTGGTCTACAGTTGTTTATCTGTTTTAATGGATTTGATACCTGGGGATTATTTGATACCTGGGGATTATTTGATTCTGTTCGTATCGCAACGTCTGTTTTACCAATCGGTGCCAGACTTATAAACCCTCAGATGCTTGCATTCCATGTTTCCACCCACCCCCTGTTTGCGGGGGTGGAGAACTGGGCATCTACCCCTCTTCGTGCAACCGATGCTGTGTAAGGGAAGTTTGTCGTCGTTGCTGCTGAAATGATTAAAACTAGATTGGTTGCAACATCGGATTTTCTTTAGGACACCGGCTCTGCGTGTTATTCACAGGCTTTCACAGTTTATATTCTTTTAAAAGGACTCATCTCCATGGCTGACGATTTCCATCAATCTGATTTAAGCTTAAGCACATAGTCACCCATCCAACTATAGATCAGGTTCAGTGCTGCTTAATTTTGATGATCCATACTCAAAGTGATACGACCGTAGACACAATCTATATATAAAATCCTGTGACTACAGTTAGTCTGTCCGTTAGTTACACCCTCTAAAATAGCCATACATCGACTGATTGAATCCAAATAGTGATTTTCCAGGCGTAGCTTAGATGTGGCACAAGGATGAAAATAAGGAGCACTGAGTGAGAAACGCTGATTGAAACCAAATATTGGGGAGAAGTGCAAACAGGTAAGGCGGGGGAACAATGTACAATTTGTTTTTAATAGGGTGCTTAGCTTAGTACAATAAATTTTCATTAATATTTTGGAAAAAATTAAATGTTTTAATATTTAACATACAAAATATTCTCACTATTTTTAAAAAATACAATTTAATGATTAAAATAACAAATACTTATTTAATAAAAATGCAACATTATTTTTGCATATCTTTTTAGTTTTTATATATCTTTCATTCTGGTAAAATATAATGCGCAGTTATTGCACAGTAAATATAAACACAGGAGGGGAAATAGAGTTTGTAAATGGCGACAAAAATGTAAACGATAATTTTAACAATACTAAAGATCTCTATCTGAGATGAGTTATTGTAATTATTTACATTGTTCGGGCTGTTGTCCGCATCTTTATTGTCATATTCACGACGTTTCGACCGTTGTACGTTCCGGCCTTTTTCAGGTGACAAGAATTTCGAACTGAACCCTTTATTTCGGCCATTTCCACGTGTCACGCCTCTTCCGGATGTCTCAATTATCTCCCTTTAACTAAACTCTCCAAGGTTTTGTTCACTGCAGTGGTGAACAAAAAACATGAAGAGTAGCCAGTATTGAACTCATAACTCTTTGGATCACGTCAACGCTTTTATCCATTGGACTATGTGTCATTGCGGACGACAGTGTACAAATTATTTGGGACTTATAAACCTAATGTCTCAGTAATTATCTTTTTACCAGATCTCATATTGCAATTTTGTTGTTATTATTGCTTTTCCCTAGCACGCCTTATTACTCGTTCCCATATTGTATTTATTTCCATGCTTGGCTGACTCAGGAGATTTTTGTGGCCTAGCATATGTGCTGATTCTTTACGTTTTCGTATTTTTCCAGTGAAGGCCAGAGTGTACAAAGGCGGAAACGTCGTGATTATGACAATAAAGATGAGGACAACTGTCCGGACGATGTAAATAATACTAAAGACTGTGAGGATTTCATCACGCGTCAGTTTGTTGCAAAAAATTCTATCAGGTTATCCCATAAGTTCTGTCCGAATTTTAACTTTTTGTTAAAATGAATTAAATTTAAAGAGTATTTTATAATGTCTAATGGAGCTGAACATTATTTTTATGTTTAGATGCATTTAAACTGATCAAATTTTATTTCAGAGAACAATAAACTCAAATTTTGTTTGATTAAAACCTTGCTAACATGGAAGTACCCAAGAATCATTTGAGGCACATAATGCTTTATGAGTTCAAGAAATGAAACTCAGCAGCCGAAGCGGCTAGAAACATTCACTCAGTTTATGGAGAGGAATGTGTGAATGAAAGAACTTGCAGAAGATGGTTTGCAAAATTCAGAGGTAGAGATTTCACCCTTGAAGATGAAGATCGAACCGGACGTCCAGTTGAGTTTGATGAAAAGTTTCTTGAAGCAGCCCTTGAAGAAAATCCTGCTTTATCAGTTGAGGGATTGGCGGTGGTTCTCAGTTCAAACCATACAACTGTTCATCGTCATCTTCAACAACTTGGAAAAGTTCCTAAACTTGGAAAATGGGTGTCTCATGAATTGTCTGAAAACAACCTCAAATCCCGAGTTGACATCTGCTCTTCTCTCCATTCTTGCTAACTTGTTTCACCTTTTTGGATAGACTTGTGACTGGCGACGAAAAATGGATCTTTTATCGAAATGTTAAGCGTCGTAGACAGTGGCTTGGTAAAGGGGAAGGACCCCAGCCACAGCCTAGAAGGGAATTTCATGGGCAAAAGGTTCTTCTTTCAATCTGGTGGGATCGCCAAGGAATAACCCACTTTGAATTCTTACCACCTAATGCAACAATTAATGCTCAAATATACTGTCAGCAGTTAGAGCGTTTGAACCAAGCTTTGTGGGAAAAAAGACCTGCTCATGTGAATTGAAAAAAGGTGATGTTTCATCAGGACAATGTGCGACTCCACACAGCAAGAATCACGTCACAAAAGATCGAAGAACTTGGTTGGGAGAAAATTCATCATCCACCTTATTCTCCCGATCTTGCTCCTTCAGGCTACCATTTGTTTCGTAGCTTACAGAATCATTTGGAAGAAACAGCTTTTGTAACACAGGAAGAGGTTAAAACTGACATTTGTGAGTTCTTCGAATCAAAGCCAAAAGAATTTTACAGTAATGGAATTAGTAAACTTGATAATAGATGGAAGGAAGTCATAGATAATCAGGGAAAATACATTGATGATTGAATCTGTAATTAAATGTAACATTTGGTCACTTGTTTTCTTTATTCAAAATTCGGATAGAACTTATGGGATGACCTGATAGTTAATAATAATTAAATGAAACTAAAAGCTAAAAAAAAAGAAAGATTTTTTTTATGTTTCCAAAGAACTGAGTTGAAAAAGTGAAACCCAAAGATGCCAACGAAGCTACCACGATTTTATGGGATTTTCAAGACGTACACAACTTACTATTCTTTGTAGTTCTTAGTAAATTTTTTCTCTTGACTCTACCAGCCAGTCTCTGTCTTGCCATCCACTTACTTCTACTCTCTTATTCTAAGTATACATTCCTTGTGTTTCTCTTTTCCCAAAATGTTCCTCATTTCTCACATGTTCAGTCCATGGTATTCTCAGTATCTTTCTGTAGTCTCAAGTCTGTTCTTCCAATGTTATGAGATTACCCAGCATTCATTTCCATAGAGGAGGTCTGATATTACATAATGTTTCTGCACATTTTTCTTTGTTTTTAATGAAACTTTCCTGTTTCTTAATAATCTGCTTAGATTTTGGAAAGCATCTACGAATAAAATGACATTCTGGAGACCCATACTTATTGGAAATATTAAATGAAATCTACTTACTAGCTTGGAATTAAAACTAAAATGAAGTCTTTAAGAATGATTTTCTCATTTTAAATGCATTTAAAACCTTAGATATTGCTTTCTTTAGCTGTACTTATACATCCATACATACATGATGATTGTCACTTCTTGACAGAAGAAGACAATCTTTCCACAACAAATTTCTTTTTTTTCTTTTCTTTCCTTTTTTTTTTTATAACTTTCAAACTCACCGATCATGAGAGCTCAGACGACTTTTTAAACCAGTTTTATTTTTACAAGCTTTTGCACAAATGCTTCACCTGAAATGAAGATTCCTAAGCCCAACAGGAACGGCATCAATGTGAATTTTCGTGTGTCTTGTTTATCCAGAACTTGACTTGCATACTTTATGACAGAGTGTACAAGAAGGAAAAAGAATTGATTTCTGGCTTCTTTCAATCGATTGAGCCTGATGACACCTAAGGTGACTTTAAAGACCTGCCTTTGAAAGAACAAAATTACCTCATAAACTACATACAAGCTGTAAGGTTAGGGTGGAAGGTCGCTCTTCAAGATTATCTATCTATCTATCTATCTATCTATCTATCTATCTATCTATCTATCTACATACATACATACATACATACATACATTTAAAATTTGCTACATTAATGTGTGGAAATGTGATCAATATTGTTGATAGAGCATTTATAGATTTAGACAGTGTGGACATAGGAATCAAAACAGCATTGACATTGTCAGTTTTACATATTGTATAGTCTGAAGATCATTTAAGGTGTGAAACATGTCGTGTTGAATCCTATGTTCACATTCTTTCTCTCTCGCTCTCTCTCTCTCTCTCTCTCTCTCTCTATATATATATATATATATATATATATATATATATATCAAATATACATATCTGTATATTATTTAATTAAAATACCTGAAAGGGAGATCATGCCTTGTTAATTCAGAAGCTGACTTGCATACTTTATGGCAGAGTGTACAAGATGGCCAAAAGAATTGATTTCTGGCTTCTTTCAATGGATCGAGCCTCTTGAGACCTAAGGTGACTTTGAAGATCTGCCTTTGAAAGAACAAAATTACCTCATAAACTACATATCAAGCTGTAAGGTCAGGATGGAAGGTAGCGCTTGAAGTTTATCTTTATGAAGATTGCACTTAACCTTAGCATGTTCCACCTTGTCCTTTTCAAACTGTTTACAACCTTGATGAACTGTCGTTCTCCACAAAGGTCGACATTCACCCTCCAGTTCCCAGGTACCAACTGATATCCCAAGAGCTTTGAGATTGGTTTTGATGCAATCTTTAAAGCACTTTTTAGGTTTGTGTTTGGGATGCTTGCCTGCAGATAGTTCACTATAAAAGCACGTTTAGGTAACCTTGTGTCATCCATGTGCACCAAGTGACCTGCCCAGTGTATTTGATTGAGAATGATTAGCTTCTCAATACTGGAGATATTAGCTTTCTCCAGAATTTGTGTGTCAGGTACAAAAGACTGCCATGAAATATTCATCATACTTCTGAGGAAATTTTGGTGTACTCTTTTAAAGGTGATAATATGATGTCTGTATGTTGTCCATGTTTCCGAAGAGTATAAAAGGGCAGTTAAAACACATGATTCATAAAACTTTACCTAGATGTTAAGTGTGATGTTTCTGTCAAACCACACCAGCTTCTCCAAGCATGCAAAAAATTTAGTAGCTTTCTTGATGTGGTGAAGTATTTCAGCATCTAGTGTCCCATTTCATGTGAATGTGCTTCCAAGGTATACAAAAGTATCCACCATCTCCAACCTCCTGATATTTACAAGTAATTTTGGCTCATGACAGGGTTGGCCAAGAGGTGCTGTGAACATTACCTTGGTCTTCCTCAAATTGATAAGACCAAAAGACTGACATGCATCAGCAAAAAGATTCATTATTCTTCGGTATGAGCCATGAGGTAAGCATCATCAGCATCGAATAACTTGCTGAAACACCTTTGTGGAAGCACTAAATCGTCATAGGTCAAAAACTTTACAGGTAGTTTGGAAAACCAAATAAACACCAATGCTACAGTTTCTAAAGGCATGTGTGAGCATCACTGCAAAAAAGATGGGAAATAAAGTAGGTGCAGGTATATTGCCTTGCTTTGCACCATTCTCAAAAGAAATTGGTTCAGACAGAGTACCATTGAAGTTCAACCTAGATTTCATGTTGCTGTGCAACTCTTCAAGAAACCTGACAAATTCAGGTGGACAACCTAGTTTTCACACACACACACACACACTCACACGCACACACACACACACACACACATCTGAATCGTTTAGAGCTGCAAAGGATAAGAACTTATGGTGAAGGATGATCACCCACATCATAAAAAGACTGCTGCCCTGACTGATTAGTTTTTTTGTGACTTATCAACTCTTTCTGGTTTATTTAAAGACCAAGCATATTTCGAAGTGTAAGAATAATTGATTTTTTGTGAGCAAATATTGCATTGATATTCTTTGAGAATAAAAGTGATTTTACCAGATATTTTAGTATTTAACCCATATATGGGGAGAAGAGATGGAATCATACCTTTCATATGGGTGATGAATCTGACAGGAATTCAAACTTGAACCTGAAATCCATTAAATCATGTGCACATTTGAAGGGACAAATAACAAAAAAGGAGGAGAAAACTGCATTGTTTAAAATACTTGAGATATTGCAGGAAAGTAGGTTTATGTTGATACATGGAGATTCACCTGGTATGTGTTGTTTTAAAACCAAACACTTACAATAATGATCACTTACCCTCCTAAAAAAAAAGAGCATGATATCCCTACTTTCATTGTAGGCATGGCTAGGGCGGTGATTTTAGGCCTGCTAATATGGATTAAATTACGGTAAGAAGATAGAAAATAAAATTTATAAACAGTAACAATACTCATGAATATACAAGCAGAGTATAAGAAAAGTTCAAAAGCCAAATAGTTACTGGTCAGGATGTTGGAAAGATATCATGAAATACAAGTTCATTTTCTGCCCGACATACAAAGATCTACTTGCTATTCATTGCATCTCCTCAGACCCTCAGTCTATGGCCATCAGTAAACAAGTAGTAATATCATCTTGAATTTTTATTACATGAAGCATTGTCAACCATTATTAATTTTTGACTAGTATTTATTTCATCATCATTTAACTTCCTTTTTATTGCATCTCCTCAGACAATCAATCTATGGCCATCAGTAAAAAGTAGTAATATTATCTTGAATTTTTATTAGATGAGGCATTGTCAGCAATTATTAATTTTTGATTAGTATTTCTTTCATCTTCATTTTACTTGCTTTCCATTACACCTCCTCAGACTCTCAGCTATGGCCATCAGTAAACAAGTAGTAATATTATCTTGAATTTTTATTAGATGAAGCATTGTCAGCCATTATTAATTTTTGACTAGTATTTCTTTCATCATCATTTAACTTGCTTTTCATTGCATCTCTCAGAAACTCAGTCTATGGCCATCAGTAAACAAGTAGTAATATTATCTTGAATTTTTATTAGATGAAGCATTGTCAGCCATTATTAATTTTTGTCTAGTATTTTTTTCATGTTAATATTACTTGCTTTTCATTGCATCTCCTCAAAACCTCAGTCTATGGCCATCAGTAAACAAGTAGTAATATTATCTTGAATTTTTATTAGATTAAGCATTGTCAACCATTACTAATTTTTGACTAGTATTTCTTTCATCATCATTTAACTTGCTTTTTCATTGCATCTCTCAGAAACTCAGTCTATAATCAATAAACAAGTAGTAATATTATCTTGAATTTTTTATTAGATGAAGCATTGTCAGCCATTATTAATTTTTGTCTAGTATTTTTTCATCTTTATATTACTTTTTTCATTGCATCTCCTCAAAACCTCAGTCTATGGCCATCTGTAAACAAGTAGTAATATTATCTTGAATTTTTTATTAGAAGAAGCATTGTCAACCATTACTAATTTTGACTAGTATTTTTTCATCATCATTTAACTTGCTTTTCATTGCATCTCTCAGAAACTCAGTCTATGGCCATTTAATATTATCTTGAATTTTTATTAGATGAAGCATTGTCAGCCATTATTAATTTTTGTCTAGTATTTCTTTCATCTTAATATTACTTGCTTTTTAATTGCATCTCCTCAAAACCTCAGTCTATGGCCATCAGTAAACAAGTAGTAATATTATCTTGAATTTTTATTAGATGAAGCATTGTCAGCCATTATTAATTTTTGACTAGTATTTCTTTCATCATCATTTAACTTGCTTTTCATTGCATCTCTCAGAAACTCAGTCTATGGCCATCAGTAAACAAGTAGTAATATCATCTGGAATTTTTATTAGATGAAGCATTGTCAGCCATTATTAATTTTTGTCTAGTATTTATTTCATCTTCATTTTACTTGTTTTTCATTGCATCTCTTCAAACCCTCAGTCTATGGCCATCAGTAAACAAGTAGTAATATTATCTTGAATTTTTATTAGATGTAGCATTGTCAGCCATTATTAATTTTTGTCTAGTATTTCTTTCATCTTAATATTACTTGCTTTTCATTGCATCTCCTCAAAACCTCAGTCTATGGCCATCTGTAAACAAGTAGTAATATTATCTTGAATTTTTATTAGATTAAGCATTGTCAACCATTACTAATTTTTGACTAGTATTTCTTTCATCATCATTTAACTTGCTTTTCATTGCATCTCTCAGAAACTCAGTCTATGGCCATCAGTAAACAAGTAGTAATATTATCTTGAATTTTTATTAGATGAAGCATTGTCAGCCATTATTAATTTTTGTCTAGTATTTATTTCATCTTCATTTTACTTGTTTTTTATTGCATCTCTTCAAACCCTCAGTCTATGGCCATCAGTAAACAAGTAGTAATATTATCTTGAATTTTTATTAGATGAAGCATTGTCAGCCATTATTAATTTTTGTCTAGTATTTCTTTCATCTTAATATTACTTGCTTTTCATTGCATCTCCTCAAAACCTCAGTCTATGGCCATCAGTAAACAAGTAGTAATATTATCTTGAATTTTTATTAGATGAAGCATTGTCAGCCATTATTAATTTTTGACTAGTATTTCTTTCATCATCATTTAACTTGCTTTTCATTGCATCTCTCAGAAACTCAGTCTATGGCCATCAGTAAACAAGTAGTAATATCATCTGGAATTTTTATTAGATGAAGCATTGTCAGCCATTATTAATTTTTGTCTAGTATTTATTTCATCTTCATTTTACTTGTTTTTCATTGCATCTCTTCAAACCCTCAGTCTATGGCCATCAGTAAACAAGTAGTAATATTATCTTGAATTTTTATTAGATTAAGCATGGTCAACCATTACTAATTTTTGACTAGTATTTCTTTCATCATCATTTAACTTGCTTTTCATTGCATCTCTCAGAAACTCAGTCTATGGCCATCAGTAAACAAGTAGTAATATTATCTTGAATATTTATTAGATGAAGCATTGTCAGCCATTATTAATTTTTGTCAAATATTTATTTCATCTTATTTTTACTTGCTTTTCATTGTATCTCCTCAAATCCTCAGTCTATGCCATCAGTAAATAAGTAGTAATATCATCTTGAATTTTTATTAGATG